ATCAAAGCAAATGGAATTTTAATACGATGCATTCACCGCCCGTGTACAAATATTTGCAATAGAACATTGACGAGCGCGCGGCGGCATTCATTAGTATTGCATTATAGTTTTTCGTTTTACCATCTATTGTAAAACAGACCATATTATTTCATATTATCTTTTGTTCTCTATTCACGAACATATATGCCGGCTTACCTATAAATTTATACTCTTTTCAGTAATGTCTGACAAGGGAAGCTTTGAGTGCATCGCTGTTTCGAAATAAAATAAAAAGTTCTTTGCCATTTTATGAAGCTGAGAATATAATACTGTTTGAATGCCTTTTTCAATTCATGGACTATGTTGAAATAATCGTTCATGTAAAATGTACTATATGAACGATTATTATTGTAATATATATTATTAAATGTATTATATGAATGATTATTATATTACAATACACATTGATTTCAAAGATTGTGACTTTCATTAACATTAATAATAGATATATTTCCCACAATGTTGTCAGATAAAATGCATTACCTATAGTAGGGGAGACTGGGTACGGTTGTGACAGGTTACGGTAGTAACAGTCGCCATAACTCTAATGATTTTGAGATGAGGTTCAAAGGGAGAAAGAATAGAAAGAAAGAATATGTTTGTTAAAACAAGTCTCCACTGTCGCATTGAGTCAGCGCCTATAACATTTCACATTCTACCGAATTGGGGCTTACAATACTGGGATTCCGTGATCCCAAATTTAAATAAACAAAATATAAGTTATTAATTGAACTTGTTTTTTCCTTAAATATATAATTCCATACGAGCTTATTATTTGTAAAATGTACCATGAAAGATAATATTCAATTGTTTACTTATAATAAAATAATTAATATGTACTCATTTTAGAACAATATTAATGTTAATCAGTCAATATAACAACTGCGGTATCTAAAAATATGACTAGTAAGCATTTCATTGATAATACCGGTATTAATACCGGAATCCCGGTATTACAAATTTCAAATATCGAATACCGGTATTCAGCCCTAGACCGAATTGCTAAAGAGCCAAAAGTAAGTTTTCTTGTTCGATTTCATTTTATAATAACTGTTACTTGTATGCAGATAGATCACTTTGTTTGTTATTTTGATGTAATTTGATTATTAGTAGTTAATTACCAGTAATTAGTTTTATTTTACGTGACATGTACATGTTGTGCAATGTGTTTCTTGCCCCTCTTTGGGCAAAATTTAAACAGATAAACCAACTAACTTAACTTAACTAAGACAAAATACAAAAAAAAGGGAAATTCACTATAAGGAAAAGTCCCTAGAGTGTGGACAGTTGTGACACTTGCCCTTTCTTGTATGATTTGATTTTATGAACTAATCCATCGTATTAAGGACAGTATTACAGTATTATTTCGTAAAAAATGTTCAAATTACCATTTAATTTTCTCTATCTAAGCTAACTGGTAAATTAACAAAATGATTGCTCACAAAAAGTGGCACAGTACCCAGTCTAACCCTAAAATATTTGCTAAACTAAAACTACTACGAAACTTCTCATTTTTATACTAGGTAGCAATCGCTTAATTTTACTCTGTTATCAACATTAATAAATTATAATGCATAGAATAAACAGAAAAATTAAGTATAGTTTCAACTGTAAAGTTTTTACAAACATTAAAAAATGTGTCCTTTTGTTAAAACTTTTTAGGTTTCTTTATATTTTTACTCTAGTCTTTTTAATAAAAATTATCAAATACTTTACCATTTTACAATCTTGATTAAATGCGCCCAGTTTTGTAAAACTTGCCAACACATTCTAGTATTTTTTTTAAAAAAAACAGCCTTTCAATGTCGACCAAATTTATAGTTTAACAAAAAGTTTAATTGAAAACTTGGGGCAATTGTATTTTTTTACTGAGGTCCTAGAAATGTTATTCACGGTTACGGTACCGAAGTTTAAATAAACAAAATAATTAAACAAACAAACACCTCTTTAATTAGGTGGGATGCATGACATCGTGCCTTAAGGCAAATTGCTGAAACTTCCCTTACCGTAATTAAAAATCTTGGTACGGAAACCAAAAAAAAATTACACAAAATGTGTACACATTATTAAAGTCTGTATAAAATATCTGATAATTTGATGTACATATGCAATAACCACCGCCAAATGACATTTTGACCGCCAAATGACATTTTTTTAACTTATTTTTATTGAGATTCCATAACCGCTGGACCAGCCTCCACAAAAATTTAATCAGTTGATCAGTGTTCCCAAAATGGTCGATGAAAATTTGTATCCGCACGCACACACACACATGCACATATACCCACACATACACACACACATACATCCATTTTTTCTAAGGTATGCTAAAATGTTCAAAAACCTTTGAAACGTGAAGATATATAAAAAAAAATTATTATCGATTTTTTTGCGATTACTATAACTTGCCCTACGGAAAATTAATAGAACTTAAAATTTCACCAAAGCTCTAAGTTGCACTTAAAAGCTCATAATTTCTAAATAACGTGAGATAATATTTTATTCTAAATATTTTTTCAGGACAGTTAAGGTCAATACTATCACCTCGTTTCGGCTTGATGTTAAGGTCTGGAATACTATCTATATATGTATATTTTATATTTGTTATATTTTTATTTTAAATACCCATGTTGAATACTCACACTCAATAATTACGATAACTTTGTAATTCTGTTATAATTCTGATACATTATGATGATTTAAGTCTAAGGGCCATCACATAATTTCCGCAAATATAATTTGCCAGCATTAAAATTTTTGTCAGTGCACAGTGGCGATACCATTAGCTAGTTGATACATACGTATAGTTGATAGTAGGTCCTCGAGTATCGAATATCGAAGCTTTTCTCATACTATTTTCGATTCCGAACATATGTGCTGGGTATATGGAGTCTGTAATTGGATATGCTGATAGAATGCTTTCAGCAAGCACTCTAGAATTATTTCGATCATAATGCAATACTGTTAGAAATCTCATTTGCCAGAGTACAATTGATGAAGCTTCCAACTTTTATTTTATACTGCTTTATTGTTTTCATATCACGTTTTCAGAATACACAACCCCCCAAAAAATATTCACGTTAATTTACATGTGTTTCAAAATTATATAAAATTCAGTAAGACAAGTGTATGTATGGATTGACAGCCATATATACAAAATACATTGATTTTATAGTATTCGTTTGCATTATGTTGATAGTTTAATGATCTAATTAACTCATTAAGTTCAAAGAAAAAACAATAAATCGTTTCTTAGGCTTAAATCTCTGAAATGTCATATTACTATTACAAATTACTAATATAAATATAATAAGCTACTGGTGTATGGCATCGTGCAAATTGCTGGAACTTCATCTACCGTAATGAAATATTCGAGAAATATGAAATGTTTTCAAATAGATTATTATAAATACTGTAACATTGTCTTATATTTTTAAGAATATCATAAACTGAATTACAAAGTTAAAATAATTTATTTAAAGTAAATAAATAATAACTAATTTATTTAAAGTAAATAAATAATAATAAAGTGAGCTTTAGAAATTTAACCAGAATTAAAATTAAAATCTGAATTTTTCGCCATAAGCAATTAATTTGTCAAAACAAGCAGAAAGGTTTTTGAATCATTCAACTCGGATGCTCAGAACTCTCAGAAACTGCAATTTGTTTTACGTCTATCTTCGAAATGGCCAGCCCTATCTTTGCCAAAAACTAACCACATTTTCTCCCAATCATTACAAATTGAATGTTTTTTGGATCATTCAAATCAGATACTCCGTTCACTCAAAAACTTGATTTCTATTTCCGTAACGGCTGGGCCTGCCTTTGCCAAAAACTAATCTGCCCATCTTTCTATCAATAGGAATCGAATGTTGTTTGAACTATTCAAATCGGTTGATCCGTGCGCCCTAAAACGTGGACAAAAAACATATAAAACACACATAGACACATCATATTTTTATAAAGCATGCCAAAATGTTCAGAAACCTCTCAAACGTGAAGATATGCAAAAAAAAAATATTTTCGATTTTTGGCCCATTATTATAACTTACCCCTCGGAAAGTTAATAAATACAAATAAAAGTAGAATGCATTTATATAATGGAGATAGTAGTAAAAAATAAACAGTAGTAATCAGAATTAGGCAAGGAAAATATCAATTTTCTTATAATTGTTATGTTCATCATTCATTTATCTTTACAATGCTTTCTCCTAAAGACTATGAATTATATAAAGAAAAATATTTAA